TATTATTATATGACCGTTCCGTTAAGACAGTATAATTGCACTTTCAAGTGTTTTCTCTTCAAATTGTTATATATTTGGTATGTTTATAATATTTAAAAGAAAAGGAAAGATAATAGAAATTTTCCCTTCATGTCTTTGGTAATATTTATAATGTTTAAAGTAAAAGGAAATATAATAATTTTTGTTTTCATGTTTGGATGTTCATAACGCCATATTAAATTATTATCAAGAGAAATACTTACTAAAATATTTGAAATGCTAGAACTGTTGGGACTAACAACTCAAGGCTAAATGCGGTTTACATACTTTTATTAAAATATGTCATACTATAAAAAATAACATGAACCTAAGTATGCCATTTATTATTATAAGTATGTATTTTCATTCAAGTAGAATGATGAGTCGACTCGCCTAATGATTATGCCACATCACAAAATTGTGTGAGTAAAACATATAAACAAGCCAGCATGTTCATTTCACCATTTGCAATAATATTATAACAAAACACAGTAACACACTGATATGTTAAACATTTTTTTATTTTTTTTTATTTTTCAACAAATATGCATACTTTCACATGTGACATACTCCCTCCTATTTTTTTAAAATGTAATTCTAGCTTTATCAACTATTTGCTAAATAAATGTCGTTTTGAATCTTTTGTACATATTTTTCCATTATTACCCTCATTTAGCTAATAAATACATTACGTCTTTTCATATTCACTCTTCATTTTTTCTCAAAACATTCATCTCTATCTTCATTAAAATAAGGTTATTATTGACAAAAAAATATTCTTAATTAGTGTGCAACTTCTCAAAACGACATATATTAAAAATAGGAGGTAGTATTTTTTTTAAAAAGAACATAAAGAAAAGTATGACATTTCTCATTTCACGCTAAAAGAATGCAGTTTTTTCCCTAAGCATGACGGGTCGACCCGCCTAACCGTTAGATGTCTCACCGAAAAAGTTGTATTAGTAATAAAATCAATTTTCATTGCATTGTTCAGGTCAGTCAAAGAGAAACAAAATACTAGGTTCATAATTTGTAGTCAATAATGTGAAGCAAAAGAAAGAATAATATTACATCAGCAGATAGTTATGGTATACGGTTGGTGAATTTAAACCAATTTATTGGTGGAGATGAAATTTGCTTGACATAATTAGCATATCACCAAAATTAATTATCTACATAACAATAACAATTTAATGATTTCAGTTTTCCAACTTATTTCTTATGCAATTTTCTAAAATAAAAAGGTGACTAGTATTAATATCCATGTACAGTATAGGGGTTGAGTTAATGAATATATGTGTAAAGTTATTTATGTTCAGTGCAAAAATAATATAAAAACAACATCACGAAGCATAGATATTCGTCATGTCAGCATCCGAAACGTGAGAATCTGCCACATAGGCTCAACACGTTTTGAATTAATATATAGGGAGGGATTGTAATATTATTTCATAAAATTATGTCACTTTCAGGCATCAATATAAATAATAATTATGTGGCTAACAGAATTATTAGCTCAATCTCTGTTGGTTGTATGGGACAAAGTTAGGAGCTGCATATGACAAATACTGTAGCGGACCAAATTCTTTTAGTTTGGTTAATTTAGCCACACGTGGCAAGTCAATTCAAAGATTTTGAATATTTTTTTCTATCATATAATTTTCGGTTGGATATTTTTTTTAGTATAATATATGAAGGTTTGATTTCACATAAAATACTCATTTTTTGTGTAATTGTATAAAACTTAACATTTTTAATTTTACAAATAAATATTAAATTTTTATATGTGTTGCAAATTTTTCTCAAAATTATTTTCCAATCAATTCTTATTGACATGCCCCGATCAGAAATCTTATGTGGTACTTATGAGACTTGTGTGACATCAATTTTTGAAACTTATCACCATGTTTTTGCCACATCATGTGCCAATAAATTAACCAAAATTAGAGTTTAGTACCATATTAAAAAAAAGAATTTTATCACCATGTTTTTTGCTCCATAATCTTCATGAAACTCGAGTTCTTGTCCCCTAATTGAAAAGAATATTTGCAGCGTTTCTTCTCTTCTCCATGGCGCGATTCTTCACCCCCTAAAATTCAAGTTCATCCTAACATTCCGAATACATTTACGAGCTCATCCCCAAATTCTGAAAAATTGGGTAGAGGGAGTGATTTTCAAGTGATTTTTAGGCGATTTTTGTTTTCTGATCGGACTCGTCGGCAAGATTGACCGAAAAATAGTTTTGAGACAAATTTGCAACACATAATAAAAGTTTGGTATTTATTACAAAATAAAAAAGTTGAGTTTTGTTTGCAATTACACAAAAAATAGTTTTGAGACAAATTTGCAACACATAATAAAAGTTTGGTATTTATTACAAAATAAAAAAGTTGAGTTTTGTTTGCAATTACACAAAAAATGAAGATTTTATGTGTAATTATGCCTAATATAAATTAAGAAAATAACTATATTAATTTATAGTATATTATATATATATCAATTTATTTAAATTGGTAAGCGGATTGTTTAAATAAAAGTTAAATTGCCCCCTTTACATTTTTTTTTCCGTCTTGAGAAAGACTCATAGTTTCAATGCAATGTATATACGAGAAATGTTCATCAACTCACGGTGGACACATGTTAATATGCCTACCGTGTAGGTGGCATGCACTCATTAGTGATGTTAATATGTTAAAAAAAATACATCACCAGTGAGTGCATGTCACCTACGCGGTGGACATATTAACATGTGCCCACCGTGAGTAAGAGAACATTTATAATATATATACATTGCCAATAAATCTAAGGCCATTGTGTTTTTATTTTTTATTTTTGTAATAAAATACATACTTATTTATGGACTGTCGTACTTTTGTTTATTTTGCTTTTCGAAGTATTAACATTTTAATTTCAAAGTTTACATATATATCGTTTATAAAATTATGATTGCATAACATAGTACATGTCTAGCAAGTAACAAGTTAATAATGAAAAAAAAAAAATATATATATATATATATAGTTGAATGAAGATTAACTTCTAAACATGTTATGGTCTAAATGACCCACCACACCACACTGCAAGATATATCACTTAGGCTAGACTTCTATTGGATTAGGACATTTTTTAAGATTACAAGTACACACCTACCAATCAACTTCTGGCCTAATGAGAACGCTATGTTATTTTCAGTTCTCTTGGCTATTTGGATAAAAAAAAATTTTTGTACGAGACAACCTAATCGTTATAGACCTGTAATATTCTTTGAACAAAAAATAATATACTTACACTATCAAATATCGTACTTCTAGTAGTATTTTAAAGTATGACATTTTACAATGAAAGTGTGTGTATTTATATAAATAGTATGTCGTTTATTGGTTAGGCCGACCTAACACAAGATCGTCCGTTGTGTAAATTGATTTGATGAAAAATAAAATAAAATTATTTTAAAGGGGTACAATACCTTATTTCGGAATACACTGCCATCACATAAAAGTCCATAATTTGGTTCTCTAGAAACACATTCTTTTACAAGGCAACGATTACAATTTTACAAACAAATTTAGGTCAACTGTAAAGTCTGACGACAAAATTTCATCGACGGAACACAACAATTTCTAGGTAGGAAAGAAGAAAATTGAAAAAAAAAAAAGTATAACGGAAATTACAACATCTTATTCTGCATGCCGATAGGTCAGAAAGCTACAGTGTTATACGGTGCAAGCTCGCATTGAACTAACTAAGATCTCTTCATCCAACGATCGACCTACAAAAATCGAAATCCACGACTCAAATTTGCTAATGCAACAAAGTAAACTCTTGTAAAAATGGTAATTTGAGTATGAAAATGCAGATACCAATAAAGACAATTTTGTTGATTCTATTATCGTCATCTTTCCAGTTGCGGCTCGGAATTATTTCGTACACTTCCCTCACAGCCTGCAATATTAAAGGAAAATTTTGATACTTATATTAAAATAAATGGAAGCTTAACATTACTTTAAATAACATCACATCTAGTTCTGAAGCATTTTTACCTGCAGGGTATATAACTGGTCCGAATTTGAAATACTTAAAACTCCTTTGCATCGGTAAACATCCATGCCATATTTCTTTTCCCAAAGGATCTCCTCTATCCAAACCTTAACCTAAAACGAGCAAGTATATAGAAAAAGGCCAATCTCATTTTTCGATTCGATAGACAATAGTCATATGATGTATCTTTTACAGCAAGCGCAAAATTTAGGTTAAGTAACTTGTATTTTACGTTAACCTGTCTTAGAAATACTTTAGAAAAAGATGCTTTAAACATGTAAACTATTTGAAAAATATATTCCTCATCTAGTAGCCATGCCAAGAAGTACCTTTTCAAGATCAACTGTCTTCGGCTCGGATATGCAGAGTGTTCTTACACCACTGTCATGAATATCATTGGTGGAAAGAGATTGACTTTCTCTCAGTAAAGTCTCCAAATGATTGGCATGCTGTAATGAAAAGACAACTCTGGATGGTGAATTTGAGCTTACATGCATGAAAAAAAAAGGAGAGAGAGAAAAGGAAACTAACTTTCGAATCATAAGCTTGACAGTTCAGTATCTTCGACAAATCAACTTGGCAGCGAAAAGTACGGATAACTTTGGCAAGTGAATTAATATTATGTATGTCCGTTTCGAGATCTTCTATGAGAACTCCAGAATCATCATTACCCACCAGATCGACTTTATTAAGAATCACAACATCCTATGAAAAGAAAAAAAATCCAAGAAATCTCCAAATTTTATTTTTCCTAAAAAAAAAATACTGAATCAATCAGCAAACGGATTCACAAGCTATGGACCATAATGAGACTATTACCGCAAATGCAATTTGATGATAAGCTTCAGGAAAAGACGACGAGTCGTGATGTGATTTGAGCTGATATCTGAGGTTTTTGGCATCAACAACCTGGAAATGTGTAAGAACCCATAATCTAACATATATATATATATTATGTGATTGCCTAAAAATCCAAGATCATATTGTGTCAAATTGTCTAAAAATCCAAGATTTGCTTTTCATCAACTATGAAAAAGAAGCTCACAGTGATAATCGAGTCGAGCCTAACATCAGATTCCAATTGGTCATCCAACCAAAGAACAGAAGCTAGAGGGGCGGGGTTTGCTAGACCTGTAGTCTCCAGTAATATATGGTCAAGCCTGTCACACATTATAAAGAAAAGCAACGAAAAAAAATTACAAAACTAAGTGTTGCTTCATAAGTCTTCACAAAGTATAATATCTCCACACCAAAACTTCAAGAAGAATTTCACTATTATACTTCATCTACTCTAGTTCCATAAAACATCGAGAGATTTAGAAGAAAAACAAAAAAACAACCTTAAAAAATCATGAATTTCCAAAATCTTTTCGGCCCTTTGATTGCACACATTTGTTTTCTCCGATACAGAAGTTTATCATAATATCCCCAGAAGAAAACATTAGTGTGTCGAAAAATAACAAAAGACAATATAATTAACCTTTCCTTTCTCTGAACAAGCTGCTCGAGTGCTTGAACCAAGCTATGCTTAACCGTGCAGCAAATGCAGCCGTTTGCAAGCTCGACCCACTCCTCCACAAGAGCTCCGCCTTCTCCCTCGTTGATCATGGCTCGCTCGACTCCTATCTCCTCACCAAACTCGTTCAGTATTACGGCTATTCTCTTCCCGTGTTGCCCATTCAATATATAATTCACCAACTACACAGCATAATAACAAAAAAATAAGTGATTTAATCATAAATTAGCTGAACAGCCATGTACCCATCTCACAATTACCTCAAACCGAGATCATGCTAAGTAAGCTCGACTGAAAAACCAAGAATTCTCCATTTACAAGCAAACAATATAATTTTATGCAAAATTGACAGCTCAAATTTAGCAAAAATTCCAATTCCATCATCTCACAAGCAAAATTTAGGTATTTCTACCGAACCCAATTCCAATTACGCATGCGTACAAAAAAAGAAAGAATCTCCGACGAAGTCCGTAAAGCCGATTCAACAAAATAGGAACCCTAATTTCCTTACGGTTGACTTGCCGGCGCCGAGATATCCCGTGATAACGGTGACCCCGACCGGCTGAGATTCGGGAAGAAGATATGGCCGTCGACCAGCGTTCCCCTCATCGTACGGACCTGGAGCGACCCCGCCGTCAACGACGCCGTCGATCGCGACGGCGAGCGGCGGCTCCTCGTCTTCTTCTCGCTCCATATTTCGGGTTGGCGAAATAGAACACCCTTTTGGACTGGGCTCGAGCGTGTTGCAAAACTAAATGGGCTCCTTAATTGGGCCACGACGAATGCATTTTTTTAGGTACGAGGTTTTGGAACGAGGTTTTGGAAATGAACTAGGTTCAGCAGTCACATGTCTTAAGGAATGTAATAATAAACTAATGCGTGCAATGCAAAAAATATTTTTTATTTACATATTATATAATTATTTAAGGTAATATAAAATTATATTTTCTACAATATTAATAATATGACATTTATTTATTTATGTACTATTATTGTTAATTTCTATTATATATATATTTCTTTTTTTGTAGTTTTCAGCCATTAAATATATAAATTTTATTATTCATAAATTTATAAAAATATTATAAATGTATAATATCATATAATGTTATTTATCTTAAATATTATAAATGTATAAGTTATATATAAATTTATAACTCAAAGTAAATGGTCCACTTATTTAATATCACGTACAATGAAAATATCATAGATTATTTCTTATAAATCTATAAGATTATATAATATTTGCATACAAATTAAGTATCTCATATAATATGGAGTATCACAGACAATAACTTTAAATATCACAGACAATGAAAATATTATAAATGTATAAGATTATATGATATTTGCATACAAATTACATATATGTACTTATAAAATTGTCATTTATCATAACCTTATAATTTTTTCAACAATTTATAATTTGCACATTGTTTGATAATTGACCAACGTTTTACTCCTAATATTTATCTTCTGCTATAATTAGTAACTATATTAAATGTTAAAATCTTGATAGAAAAATTTTAAATATTTTTTGTATTGCATCCCGGGTATAATATATTGATTCAATTTAGTTTAATAATATTTTGTATTATATTGATTCAATTTAGTTTAATAATATTTTGTTTTCGACTAGGAATATTGATTCATGCATGTTACATAAATCTATTACAACAACGTAATCTATAATAAATCTATAATAAGAATATTAAGGTAATAATATTTTTCTAATATCACGAATTTACTATAATTCAACCTCTTTCTTTTATTATGTTAACAATAATCCTATTTTTACTCAAATATATTATATAAAAAAAGACTCCATATCAGTTACACTCTTTCTACTATAAATACCACACAAATCACAATCGTCTCTTCAAAATTTACAGATCTGTAAATTCTTGTTCTCCTCCTCCTTTTTTTCTCCTTGTATTTCGAATTTGTAAACAATATTCTTTGTATTTTTATTTTAAATTAGAAGAACAACAAACAATGGATCCGGGTCGGGTATCATCGACTGATTTGACGACGGGTGAATTGCCATTCGGGTATCGGTTCCACCCGACTCCATTCGAGGTTGTTCAATATTATTTATGGCCCAAATTGAAAGGTGAAGGGCTGCCGTCGGGCTACATTAAAGATCTTGATGTGTACAAACTTGATCCTCGAGATATTCCTATAAGTAAGTGTTTTTTTTTTGTCGATTTTAATTTAGGGTTTGATGTTTGATGTTTGGTGTTTAGGGTTTTTTTAGTTAGACTTTGATTTTTGGGGTTTGGATTGATAATGTATGTGTGAAGGTGTGTTTTGTTCGAAAGCTTATATTTATGTTCTTGTGATTTTTGTTCTTTTGTCCAATTAGATGTCTCGAAGTACGCAAGAGACAATGAAGCCTACTTTTTCGTACCAATTACTCGAGAGCTTGCACAAGCGGTGCACAACTCGACGAGAACAACACCTACTGGATATTGGAAAATGTTTGAATGGAATAGTCCTCTTTACGGACCCGATGGTTCTATAATCGGGCACAAGAACAAGCTCAAGTTTTACAAGGGAAAGTATCCGAATGGAGTTATTACCGACTGGAAGATGGTCGAATATCGAACTTGTTTTCGAGCTAATGACAATGTAAGTACCCTACTTTTGTTTTCTTTGTTTTTTTAATTCTTTGCCTTATCCTTGTACTTTCGAGCTTCTTTGGATTTTAAGAATTGAGCATACGATTATATTTGTACATTATGCAATCGACACGACATGACACGACGACACAATGCTAATTAATTCCTTAGATTTATTTAGGTTTTCAAGAATTTCACAAATTAATTCCTTAGAATAATTTTTTTTTTTTCCTTTTT